GGGGCGGGGGGTGAATGAAAAGTCCACGTTTGTCCATGAAGGGGAGGGGGGAGGGTTTAAGCAAATGTCAACGTGGACATATAATCAAAGATATTTCCAAAAAAGATATATGAAGCTTAATCAGGATGATCATAAGTTTCAGTTAATCAATTTCCCTGACAATTTACTGACATTAAAATTAATTTCCCTGACAAAATTCTTTTTACAGGAAAATATGATTGTTTACGGAAAATGAGTAAAATTTATGATTTTAATTATTTTTTAGAAAGACAATTATAACCCTTCCTGAATTCAATTATTTTCTACGATTTCCACCCAGTAAAAAAAAGTATTGGAAGAGAGCGAATAGTATTGTCGGTGAGTTTCTGCCAATACGGTTTTCACACGAAAACGTATTGGCAGAAACTCACCGCCAATACTATTCGCTCTCTTCCAATACTTTTTTTTACTGGGCAACTAAACCTTCGTCTCTGAATCAATTAATTTAAATAATTTTCCGAAAGTTCTTCTAAAATTCTGTTATATTTTAAAATTATTTTTGAATTTAATTTATAAATTTTAATTAAAATTTTTTAACATGATTGTTTCCTCTAAAATGTTAAAAATAATTTTAAAATGTTATTTTTTTGTATATATTTGAATTTTTGAAAATATGTAATTGAAAATATTGAATTTTAAAAAATTAGAAGCCAATTTTCATAAATTTTCATTTTTAAATTTACCTTTAAAGATTTTTTATTCTTCAAAAATTGTAACAAAAGACTTTTTATCCCACATGCACAAAAACGGCGCTTTCTGATAGCAGCCGACAGGGAGGAAAGTCATTCATTTCTTCGACCGTATGAAATTGGCGGCCGTGTTCTCCCAAGGGCAAGAAAATTAGCTGTTCACATGCATTTTTCTTGCCCAAGGGAGAAATCGGCCGCCATTTTTATACAAATCGAACAAGTGAATGACTTTTACTCCCTGTCGTCTGCTATCTGACCAGAAACCACACGGAAAAAAAAGTACAACTGAAATGGAGAAATTTTTCGCCATAACAGCTAAACATTTCGTCAAAAACGAGCGAGCGATATTGGCATTATCGCTAGAATCGCGATATTGAATTTTACTTGAAAGACAACCTAACCCTGAAATGATTTTTAATTTTTTTCAATTGTATGTTTCAAATTGTAGCCATATGAAAGTAAATTATTGAAATTAATACTGTTTTAAAACTAAAAAAACACAAAACTGATATTTATGCTGTCAAAAAAATTTCTGGGTATAGGAGCCGTAGAGCGTCAGGTTTCCACATACTTCCAATATGGCTGACGAATTGCACTCAACCAAAGCTCACTATCACTGAATTGGCTAAACTTTCGGCTAATGTAGTTAAGCTTAATTCCAAACGTGGGTTATGTTGTTTTTCATTTTAATTATATTCCCAATATTGCTCGTTCGCGTCATGAAATTTTTTTCCGTGCATAACTTCGTCATGGCTAACTCGGGCTATTTCCACACGGGTTGAAATAAATTAATTATTTTCAATTAAATTTTTCAAAATTTCAACTATTCAAAAAGATTTGTTTATAGTTATTTTTAACATTATAAAAATCAAAATAACTTGTACTTTTTTTTACTAAAAATTGTGGTATTTTGTCGCAATTTTTTTAAATGAGTCGAAAAAAGTCACAATTTTCTTAATTTCCCTGACCAAAAATTTTTTTCTGACATTTCCCTGACTTTACTGACATTCTTGCTTTGAAATATGTTCAAAAATAATCTTTTTTATTTTTTAACATACAGGAGTAAAAAAAAACTTATTTTTTTAATTTGCAATATCCACGTGGACAATTGTATAGGGGGGGATTTTTTTATTTTATTAAACTATTATATTATTATATCAAATAATTATTAATTAATTATTATTATTATTATTTATAAATTAAGTAATTAAAAAAAGAACTGCTAAAAAAATTAGTTATTATAAATTAACAGTTACTGTGAACATGAATGTCCTCAAGTATTAAGAAAATCTTCGTAGCGTGCGAGCGTGGTCGCACGTTCGCACGGGTCGTGAGTTCAATTCCCGGCGTTTGGGAATTTTTTCTCTGTTAGGTATATTTACATTAAATATATAAGGTATATATAAAAACAAAAGTAGGTAGGGGAGAATGGGGCAAGACGAGGTAGCGGGTAAGACGGGGTACCGGCCTTATTTAACAAACGAATTAACCAATCGCGATTATATTTTACATAATACTGCACCGAAACGATAGTCTCGGTGTTTTGTTTATAATATTAATAAACAAAACGGTGTTTTGTTTATTTTGTTTATAAAACCTAAAAGCCATGAGAACAAATCTTTTATCTGTTTTACTAAAAAAACTGTTTTTGACGATTTTCTTGACATTTTTTCACTTTTTATAGGAGGTGTTTATTACTTAATAATAACAGTTAAAGAACTGTATAATTTTTTTTCTAACTGTCAAGGGTTACAGAAGAAGGGAAGCATATGTTTTTTTTTCTTTGTTGAATCGTAGATTGTAAATTGTAGTAATTAATCGTTTTATTGAATTTTGTAGGTGCGGGCAAGATGGGGTAGGGGAGAGTGGGGCAAGACGGGGTACACAAATTAAGCAAAAAAAAAGAGAAATAAGAGAAGTTAAGAAAACTACTAAAATCAAGACTGAATAAAATAAGAGTGACGAAAAAGAAAAAAGCTTGTCAGGTTAAATCATCAATTAGCGATGGTAAAGAGGAAAATACACCTTGTCTCTATTGCAATGGTAATTATTTAGACTCAAATGAAGGCTAGGCTGCTTGTTCTGTCTGCGGCCAATGGGCTTTGAGCAGTTGTGGTGGTGTCGATGTCAAAGATAAAAATGCAACCTTTACTTGTAAAATTTGTCGACAGAAATAGGTTGTTTTTTTTAGTACCCCATCTTACCCGCCGGTGGGGTAAGATGGGGAGATTTGCAATTTTTTCAATATATGTGATGAGAAGTACATTTTACTATGAATATTAATGTTTAATATAAAAGTAGAATTATTACTATTCCATAAGAACTTTTACTAGAAACTCAGCACCATTTTTCTCCGTGCGGAAACGTTTTCACCTGGGTAACCCGACCTTTTTTATTGGCATTTCAAGCTTTTTATACGATGCCTACCTTCTAATATACTCTCTAAATCTGAATATGTGAAATTTCACTTAGGGATCGTCCATATATTACGTAACACTTTTTGGGGGGAGGGGGGGGTCAAGCTATTTGTTACGATAAGCCAAAAAAATGGCGCTAATGTATGTAACAGCGTGTTACATGGGGGGAGGGGGGGGTCAAAATTTTCAAAAATTAGCGTTACGTAATATATGGACGGCCCCTTATTGTACGTTATAAGTCGTCCTCTCGATCAATAAGTGCATATACACTTATAAATAAGTGAATTTTTCACTTATTCTGAGTGAAATTTCACTTATTATAAGTGTATATGCACTTATTGATCGAGAAGACGACTTATAACGTACAAATATGTGAATTTTCACATATTCAGATTTAGAGAGTACTAAACATGTTCATAAATATCATGAGATGGTAATGGGTTTTTTCCGTGATAATAATTACACAGGTCAACAAAAAAAGACTTACTTTTTTTTTATGAGATAGCGGAATGGTTTCCTATGTATTTTTGGACGCTGAACACGATCCCGACTTCCAAAATTGTCCATCACGTCAGGATTTTGAGAAAAGTGGGGGTAAAGACCCCAAAAACGCTTTTTTGAGGATTTTCAACATTTCTTTTCTCTTTAACCTGACGTGCTAGAGACTTCCACAAGGTCTTAAATTAAAGCTTGTAATGTGCACTACAAGACCAATATCCATAAAATAAAAAAAAATTAAAATTTTTTTCAAAAAATGGGATTGAAGACACCAAAAATTTGTGTTTTTGGATTGCTTTAATAGACTTTTTGCAATTGCTTGGATTCGCATGAAAATGGTTACTTGGGGTTCTTGGGGTCGCTGATTACGAATCCGATATTAGTTTGCAAAAATTAAAAATGGCGGATTCGTAATCAGCGACCCCAAAAACCCTGAAATAACAATTTTCAAGCGAATCCAAGCAATTCTTAATTCTTACATCTGCCATCTTGGTTTCGCCGTTTTAAATTTTTGCAAACAAATATTGGATTCGTAATCAGCGACCCCAAAAACCCCAAGAACCCATTTTCAAGCGAATCCAAGCGATTGCAAGAAGTCTATTAAAGCAATCCAAAAACACAAATTTTTGGTGTCTTCAACCCCATTTTTTGAAAAAAATTTTAATTTTTTTTTATTTTATGGATATTGGTCTTGTAGTGCACATTACAAGCTTTAATTTAAGACCTTGTGGAAGTCTCTAGCACGTCAGGTTAAAGAGAAAAGAAATGTTGAAAATCCTCAAAAAAGCGTTTTTGGGGTCTTTACCCCCACTTTTCTCAAAATCCTGACGTGATGGGCAAATTTGGAAGTCGGGATCGTGTTCAGCGTCCAAAAATACATAGGAAACCATTCCGCTATCTCATAAAAAAAAAGTAAGTCTTTTTTTGTTGACCTGTGTTATTATAAGATGGTAAGGTGTCAATTTAGCGGATATATATTTATTTTGCTTATCATCGATAAGACAGAAATCAATATTTCAAAATTAATAAATGGTTAATTGAAAAATTAACTGAAATTAATGATATCGAATCTATCTGTAGCTCAATTGGTAGAGCATCCTACCGGCAATAGGAAGGTTCTGGGATCATACCCCAGCGGTGAGAGACGATTCATTTTTTTCAGAAACCATGCACAAAATAAAATATATTTTCAAATATTAATGAATTATTAATTTTGAAATATTGATTTCTGTCTTATCGATGATAAGCAAAATAAATATATATCCGCTAAATTGACACCTTACCATCTTATAATAAATGTTCATAAATAATTAAGATTTACTTAAAATATTAATAATTTCTAATTCGTTACATATAGCAATGTTCAGACAGACCGAAGTATTATAAAGACTACATTCAACGTGGATCTCAAACAGCAATTCCTAAATCAACGTGGTATCGTTACCAACAGAAATTTAAGGAAAAGGTAAGAATTTTACAATTTTAATTTATTATAACATGTGTGCATTTCATTAACTTTGTCTATGCACATTATAAATATAAGGCTTTGCATTAGCTATTATTTTTTAAGATATCAATTTCATTAGTATACCGAACATGGACATTAAATCTTGCAGCAAGCTTCCCGTGTAAGCTTACCGCAATACATTTCTTTGTAAACATGCTGCAAGCTTATATGAGGCATTATTCCTGAACTGCCCCAAAAATAAAAAAAAGTTCTTGGATTTTCTTTATACTTTGGAAATATGTTACCCTAGTAGGTACAAGTTACTACACCAATTTACAGGTCCAACCCCCCACCCCAATCAAAAGGGTGGGGGGTTGAAATTTCAGCTTCAACTCGAACATGCATTCTTTAAACATTTGTAGTTTCTACTTAAATTATTCAATTAAAAAAAGTAAGTAGTGTTTTAGAAAGGTTTTTTTGTGTACTTTTAAAATATTTTATTTATATAATAAAAAAAAAATTTTTTTTGCAAAAATTTTTTAAAATAAATAGTTTTTTGCAATTTTGTGCAAGTTCGGTAGTTTTTATTTTCTTTTTAATAATCTCAAATGAAAGCTTGGGAATTCCCCTAAAAGAAGATATAAGTCTGAAAATGGGCCGAAACAATTTGCCAAAGATATAGTGAAATAAGTAAAATTTGTCCGTCCGCTCGCGCACTCCAGCGCGATGAACAGTGGGATTTCTTTTCAACTTACTATTGAAAATTGTCTAGAAACTATAAATTTTATCGGATGTTGATGTTCTTGATTTAAAATTACTAAGAGATCCATCAAAGTCGATTTTTGAATTTTTAATTGTTTATTTTTTTTGTTACTCAAAAATTTGACAAATTACAATATTTTTAGAAAAAATCATGTTAGTTTTTTTATTTTTCCATTACACATGATCGAAATCAATTTAAATTAGTCTAGTATGACCACCGGACAATTAATAAAGCATAATACAATTTATTTAAATTGTTGCAAACAATGTTAATTAACAAATAGATTACTTCGGACCTTCTTCATAAAAAAAATTGGTTTTTTTGCAGACAAGTTTAAAGTTATGTCTAATTTAGTAAAAAACTATTTTACAGTTAAAAATTATGATTAATATTAACAATTATATAAACAATAATCAACTTCCTTTTGTATTTGTAAACATTTTCGTCATTTTTCAAACTTTAAATATTTGTATCATATGTACATTCTTTCAAAAACTTAAAAAATTTATTAGCTTAAACAATTACATTTGTTATAAACAAACTTTTCATTTTTAAACAAATAAGTAGCTTTTTTCATCAAACAAAATTTTTTCCTTTTTTTTATATTTACTATCATAAAAAAGAACTCCTTAATGAAATGGAAATACTATAAATTATTCATTTAATTTTAATAAACATTATAAGTTAACAAATATTTATATTTTTAATGAAGTAAACCATTATTCAGTTAAAACAGTTTACATTTAAATGCATATAAATAAATATATTTTTTCTGTGAAAAAAGAACAAAGTTAAATATTTGTTAACTTATAATGTTTATTAAAATTAAATGAATAATTTATAGTATTTCCATTTCATTAAGGAGTTCTTTTTTATGATAGTAAATATAAAAAAAAGGAAAAAATTTTGTTTGATGAAAAAAGCTACTTATTTGTTTAAAAATGAAAAGTTTGTTTATAACAAATGTAATTGTTTAAGCTAATAAATTTTTTAAGTTTTTAAAAAAATGTACATATGATACAAATATTTAAAGTTTGAAAAATGACGAAAATGTTTACAAATACAAAAGGAAGTTGATTATTGTTTATATAATTGTTAATATTAATCATAATTTTTAACTATAAAATAGTTTTTTACTAAATTAGACATAACTTTAAACTTGTCTGCAAAAAAACCAATTTTTTTTATGAAGAAGGTCCGAAGTAATCTATTTGTTAATTAACATTGTTTGCAACAATTTAAATAAATTGTATTATGCTTTATTAATTGTCCGGTGGTCATACTAGACTAATTTAAATTGATTTCGATCATGTGTAATAGAAAAATAAAAAAACTAACATGATTTTTTCTAAAAATATTGTAATTTGTCAAATTTTTGAGTAACAAAAAAAAAATAAACAATTAAAAATTCAAAAATCGACTTTGGTGGATCTCTTAGTAATTTTAAATCAAGAACATCAACATCCGATAAAATTTGTAGTTTCTAGACAATTTTCAATAGTAAGTTGAAAAAAAATCCCACTGTTCATCGCGCTGGAGTGCGCGAGCGGATGGACAAATTTTACTTATTACACTATATCTTTGGCAAATTGTTTCGGCCCATTTTCAGACTTATATCTTCTTTTAGGGGAATTCCCAAGCTTTCATTTGAGATTATTAAAAAGAAAATAAAAACTACCGAACTTGCACAAAATTGCAAAAAACTATTTATTTTAAAAAATTTTTGCAAAAAAATTTTTTTTTTATTATATAAATAAAATATTTTAAAAGTACACAAAAAAACCTTTCTAAAACACTACTTCCTTTTTTTAATTGAATAATTTAAGTAGAAACTACAAATGTTTAAAGAATGCATGTTCGAGTTGAAGCTGAAATTTCAACCCCCCACCCTTTTGATTGGGGTGGGGGGTTGGACCTGTAAATTGGTGTAGTAACTTGTACCTACTAGGGTAACATATTTCCAAAGTATAAAGGAAATCCAAGAACTTTTTTTTATTTTTGGGGCAGTTCAGGAATAATGCCTCATATAAAGAATGTTATTATATAAAATTATAATATTTTATTATAAGCAAAAAATAACATTTTTAGAAGCAAACTTAGCAGGCAATATTGCAGCAAGCTTACACAAGAAGCTTCCTATATTTTTTTTTAATTTGATAAAATATTTTTTGAGTTACGGAGTTTAAAAGTTTTATTTTTTTGAAAATATTTTTTTCCCATTTAATATATCAGGTCTGGGCAAAACACTTCTCCGCGTGCACTGCGTGAAGAAAATGACTCCTCACTCTTAGGCCTAACAATAGGCTTAACGCCGAGAGTGAGTAAGAGAGAGGGAGAGAGAAAACTATTGCTAAGCCTGAGATTGGGGAGTCATTCCCATCACGCGGAGCAATGTTCTGCCCAGGCCTGACATAATTTGTGAATGACCCCCAAACAATTTTGAATTTACATTTTACAATAAACATTATTTTAATCATCTATATAATTAATTATAATCTGGCCACTATTTTGACGATATTATTTATTTTACTCTAATAATATCACGGTAAATCGTTAGGTATTAAAATAACACCAAAAAGGATTAAAATAATCCAATTTAGTGTTATTTTAATCCATTTTGGTGTTATTTTAACACTTAACGATTTACCGTGATTTGAATTTCCTAATTTAATATTTTCTAGTACATATTATAGGTTAATTTATAATTTATTATATAATTATTGATATTTTAAAATTATACATATTATAAATTAACCGCAAAATAATATGTATACTAGAAAATATTAAATTAGGAAACTCAAACATTATTAGAGGAAAATAAATAACAATTAAGTAAAATATTATATATTTCTTCATATGAACAAAATTACTTCATTATAAAATAACATTTAAAATATTACATTAAACATATTATATGACTTTTATACATGCACTCAGAAAAAAGTTTATTCGAAACAACCAACTGAAAACTTCACAAAACCTTTTTGTACATATTCTTCTCTCTGGTACAAATTAAATATGCAGTACGTCTTACAATGAACACAATGCATAAGTGAGACATAAGTGAGATCGACATTTTTAAATTCACACATGTACTTTTTGAGACAAGCAAATATTTTTGTTTGACTCAAATAAAATGATTTGGTTAAATGAAACAAATTTGTGTGTTGTGTCGAACAAATTGTATTTAACTAAACAATATTCTTTATCCAAAACACAAATTTGGTTAAATGAAACAAACATCAAATAAAAAATTTCTTTACAATAACCAAAAAAATTTTACGTATTTATTAAAATGAACCAAAATTTTTATTTAAATCAACAACATTTTTTTATCGTGACAAATAAAATAGGTTAATTAAACAGTTTGGTTAAGTGAAATAAACGTTTTCTCTGAGTGTGCTACGCTCGCATAGAACTTTCAAATTTTAAATAATATTAAGTGTTACTAGCTGAAATAAAAATTGTAAAATTACTAGGCTGTAATAAACAATTTTGAAATACGGAATGATGTTATACCGGTATATTTTCAATACTTTACTGAATGTGTATATTTATGAATATTTCAATATTTTGTTTAAAAAGAAACTTGTTATATCTTTATTATTATATTTTTTAATATTTCATTACATAATATATCGAATAATATTGAACCCAACTTCACTACAAAACAATTTATAACATATTAGGTAATTCTATTAAATTGAATGAAATTTAAATGCACAACACATTTTTTAATTATCTAATTTGCAGAAAAGTGTCAATAAATAAATTACTTAATACATATTGTTTAAATTAATTAATTAACCCATTAATGCCCATGGGCACAGAAACGCAGATATCGAAAAAACAACAAGTGTGATCCTAGCATGGGGTCTAATAATAATTTTTGACGTTAAAAATTTTGTTTAAAAAAAATTTTTTTTTATTTTTAACGTCAAAAATTATTATTAGACCCCATGCCAGGATCCCACTTGTTTTTTTTCGATATCTGCGTTTCTATGCCCATGGGCTGGAACGAGTATATATGCAGGCTAATTGTTTATAACATTTTTATAACAATAGGTCTTTTTCAAAAAATTTTGCAACATATGTTCTCGTAGTATTTTTTCGCGTAGAATCGATTAGCGCTATCAGTTTTTTAGGAAAATCAAATTTTCATAATGTGTTTATAACAAATTGTTTAAAAAAATTTTTTTTTAAAATTTTTTAACGTCAAAAATTATTATTAGACCCCATGCCAGGATCCCACTTG